CAAAGAACAAGCGTCTGTACAGCAAATCCAGAGCTATTCATACTGACCGATACAGTTCAGTGGTAATGCCTGTTGCCTAATGGTCTGAACAGCCGCTTCATGCAGCCCAGTTAAACACAGCTTTTAGCCTTTAGCTGCTGCCGTTGCCGTTACTGATGTTTCGGCTAATGCAACGCTGCTTACTTGCGTCTTGAAACCCGCATCATCGTATCGGCTTTTTTTTTCTTCTTTTTTCTTTTTTATTGGCTAACTTGCTTATTAGAATGATTTACAAAGTAAATATCAGAACAGGAGACATAAAAGTTGCTGTGAATAGCAAAATTTTTTCCACAAAAAGTTCAACCGTCTCGACAGGCAAATAGCGATAACAAAAACAGTAATAATAGAAATCAAATACCAATTCAATTAGTAGTTTTAACTACAAAATAAAAAAAAAAAAATCTTGATCTGTAGTTGATCCTGACAAATGATAACTGTATTTTATTGCAAAGGTACTTCAAGAATGATGAACTGTTAAAGATACAAAGGCCACCCCGAATGAGAACCGTCAAATGTAAACAGTTTCCCGATAAGCCGCAGTATTATATTAAAATTATGATATTTGAAAACAATATATGTGTTTAGTTTGAGGGGGGGGGGAAAAAAAAAAGAAATCAACAATGGCTATAATCTTTTACTAAGGTCAACAAACTTTAATCTATGTATGCATCTGGTAATCACGTACGCCATCGTAAGCTGTAACAACAGCAACGGTAACATCTAAACAACGATTTTACAATTAGTAATCAGATACACTTAACGTGGAAGGTGGAGGGAAAAGAAAGAAAAAAAGCGAAGCCAACAATACAATTCTTTATTGCTATTCAACTTTTAATTTTAGCATCAATTTTACATCAACTTTGGCTTAAGAAAAAAAAAGAATTATAGTGATGTTTTTTATTGCCTTTCTAACTTTCGTTCTGCCTGTGTACATATTATGCACCAAAATTATCCCTATTGAAACATCCATACTTTTATGATTAGAACAGAAACAGTTTGTTTAATATTTATTTTTGACTTTTATATATTTGTTTACAACTCTTTGATTCTACCTTTTTTAAAAAAAACTGTATAAATAGTAGGTAAAAAATTGTTTAATTTGCATTTATTCTTCACCATCTTTCTGCATTTTCTTATCGTTAAACAGTTCTCGTACTAAACGCCCAAAATATACACTTTAATATATAAAAAAATTTTCGTAAAACCATTCTCCAATTTTTGATAATTTGAAATGTTAAAAAGAGCTGCTCTGGTAGTCATTCAAGTAAACCGTTGAACAGATGTGCAGATCAGTTAATTCGTTTGTCTACAATTTACTTGGAAAAAACTTTTCCGAATTTTGCTATCGTTTATAGTTTCTCATTAGTAAAATGTCGCTTTATGTGTGATACAGCTATCGTGGAACTCATTTTAGCTTCAATTAATAATTTTTTAAATCAACACCTACAGTTTTGATGGAAGAAAACTGCACTTTAGAAGAGGCTATATCAGAATGCAAAAGTTGAAAAATACTAAATCTTAATTGCTAACGATGTTTATAAATGAGCAGTACGTGATTTTAAAGAAATAACAGTACAATTCAGATCTTTAACAGAAACTGAAAGAAGAAGCCGTTGTCGAGTACCGTTGTTACAGGCAAGCACAACTGTCGAAGGCACAGAAAAATTTCATCGTATACTGCTGGAAAGGTTAATTGAAACAAAAAGTACTTGCTTTTAGCAACTACCAAGGAGTGCCAAAAATTGAAATTAATTTTCGTGAAGAATCAATGCACTGTAAATGAAAAAACAGTTATTGGTTTTTTTTTTTCCAAAACCAACTTAAAACTACTTAGTAGCAAAAAATCACTGATCAGATACTTCTGACAGAGAGAACCGGAGTGAAGCAGAATACAGTACAATAATAGCTTAGTTGAAACCAAAAAACTGTCATTCAAGGAGTCATCAAAATATTCGGCTACATGAAAATTTTTTCAGCCTAGCCTCACGAACCCTATTCTAATCTGCGACAGTGTAAAGATGTTATCGTACAATTTTAGTGTCTCAGACACAAAGACTTCCTTAATATTAAAAGCTTTTCATTTGGAAAATTTCAAACACAGTGTTGTTAGACAAAATGTTTTCAATTATCGTTCACCACTGTTCTGAACCGATGGGAGACAGCCTGCCAATTAGTGTAAAAGAATTAAAAATTCATTTTGAATGAACAGTATCACAACTGCTCAAAATGGCCATAATGAGCAAAAACTGCGTTTCTTCCTCAACACTTTCGCATAATTTAATTCCACCTTCGGCGCAGTTTTTCGCGTACGCATTTACGATTTCAGAGTACGAATCCAGACTTAAAAGTTATCAAAATTGAGAAAATTTCA